GTAGCACTGCGAATGCTACTCCGGAATTGATCATCGCCTTCGGGGGCTCGAGAGCTAGCTCGTGCGGGTACTGTAGGAGCGGCAAAGTAAAGCTTGCTGAGGAGGGAGAAGAGAAGCTTGCGTTCCTCACGTGAGCAGCGATTGGTAGCAGCGCTGACACCGAGAACACGCTCGAGGATCTCCTTAACTAGGGCGAGGTGAACCCATCCACAAACATTGGAGCTTGCAGCACCGCCAGCCAGAATTCGTTCACCACCAAGGCCAACGACCCGGCGTTCATCAGTCCACTCAGAAAGCATACCAACAACACCAGTCATAAGAGCCTTGACCTCGCGCTCGCCGACGCTTGGATCGATTTCTCCATCACTGTCTTCCTCGGCTTCAAGTGAGTAGTGCTCCTCTGCGGCATTCATTACAGCACGGATCACGGGTACGGCCACGCGACGCATGCGTTGTGTATTTTCCACACGGGAGTGGCAGTATACGGGGAAGAAATAAGCCAATGACTGTCGTAGTGCTGGATTTTCACGAGTGCGTGGGTGGTAGAAGGAGACCACGAGGGACAACAACAGAGACTCTACGGCATTCTGATTGTGTTCCTGGATCGCGGGTGGGACATTTGACCCAGAGGGAGTGAAGGTGTTGGTGAGTAGCAGCTTGCAGAGAGCAGCGGCTGCTCCGGACTGCACGCTGTTGGGAGAGTTGGCACGCAAGGCGCGAGCGAAAACCTTGAGCAGAGGCTTCTGCATGGGGGGTGGCGTCACAGTCTCACCATCAGCCTGGGTAACGGGAGCAAGCAGGGATGGGTGAGTCGTGATCATATCACAGAGGATTTGTAAAGCAGTGACCTGCAATGCCTCGTGACCCTTGCTATAGCAGTGAATGAAGAGGGTCATGTTCTCTTCCGCCAAATTCTGTAGAAACCAGTCATTAGCGAACCTCATATTCGATCAAAAGGAGAAGATACTAACCTTGTCAAGGAGACAGCAGAGACCCAAGCACAAAAGACCACGCTCTCTAATTGGAGCTTCGTGGCTGCGGACAGCGGGTACCACAAGGTTATTCAGCATAGTAACCAAGTTCATGTTTTGCTGCAGGTGGCCCTGGACATTTTGCAACATGCACTGAGCAATATATAGACACTTCATATTAACAACAATCTCGCGGACGATCTTAGCCTTAGCTTCTTCCTTATTAAAGGGTTTAACCTCCTCATCACCTGGGGTTTCGGATCGTCTGCTAGTATCGTCACTGATCTCAGACCTAGCAGAAACAAAGCTATCCTCGGTGGTAATGGTGTCGTGAACTTCGGCAATAGCCTCGAGAACAACGCTGCAAAATTCGGCCTCAGCTGCAGTATCAGGCCCGCAGACACAGCGGAGTGTTTCAACGACGAGTTTTGTACTCTCTTCCGGGAGTTCTGGTACAGCCAAAGTTTCTCGCAGGAGCGAGAACATCTTTCGTCGACCGACCTCGTCGCTGTAATCTAGAGTGATGGCGATGTGGAGCAATTGTTCCACAACAAATTCGTGCTCGACTGCGTCATCATCGTTCGCTTCACCAGACTCTTTAGAAATCTTCTTCCGCTCCAAAAGATTAGTGATGTATTTGCCCAGGAAGTAGGCCATCGCAGTGACCTCAGGCATCTTGTCGTCTGCTAGATTGTCGTATTTTCCTTCGTTCTCCACGCGGCAGAAGTCGTTGAATGACCGGAGCAAGAATGCAGATTCACCAGTAAGATTCTCCCAGAAAGGCTCATCAAAGACAACAGCTTCACGATAGTCCGCACGGCCCTCCCAGAACCCGCGCATTGCCTCATGTGCAATCCCGCTTTCCATTCCAGAGTTTACAACATCAATTCTCTCCAAAAGTTCAAGTAGCGCGTTGATGTCGGGTGCAGACCGCTGGCCAGTCGGTCCCAGATTCGGGTCATTGTTTGTGCCAGCACAGTCCTCGACCCATCTGTCGTAGAACAATTTCGCTGTAGCCTTGCGGACACTTTCATCACGATCACGTAGACCCCATCGGAGGAGCTTTTCTCTCATTGAGAGAGACAAATGGCGGAAGTCACCCAAGGTAGGCAGAAGACGCGAGTACAGTGCGCGTCTGGTAGGGGCATCCAAATCACGGGCACGTTCAAGAAGGTAAGGAAGCGTCATTGGGGCGAGGGGGAGATTTGTGAGTAGCGTTTTGCGAACGTCGGAACTTGTATCGTTTTGCATAATTTCGATCAGCTTTTCAAGGAGCGCAGAGTTGTCGTCGCCCTCTTCTCCATCGTCTCCCGCCAGACGTCCTAATCCTAGAACGGCCTGTACACGGATAGAGGCCTCCTTATCACGCAGACGCCTCAGGAGACCCTGTCTAATTGTATGGTATAGCTCATCGTCGATCGATTCCAGCGAGTTCACAATGTGGGCGGTAATTTGGGTTGCGCGGAATCGTACCACCTTATCCTTAGCACTCATGACGGGTCCCATCAGCGCAATGAGACTAGATGTGAGGCGGGCGGTTGGTGTCTCGGGATTGTGGTCCTCATCTTCGTCCGATGCAAAAATCTCATTATCCTTCTCTGCGGCATGACTGAGGAAAGTACCCAAGAAGCGCAAAATCCGGTCTCCAACAGGCTCACTCTTCTTAATTGTGAGAATACGGAGCATGCAGCGGCCGACTTCCACGTTGAACTCCCTCTCGGCATCCGTTTCCTCACCAGGAATCAATGCCTCTTCAGGCTCTTGGTCCTTTCCCTTGTTATTCTTCTTTGGTGAGATACCACAGCAAAACTCTTGGAGCTTGCGCAAGCGCACAACGAGCTTTCGGTGACCGGTGGTCGAGCGCTGAGCATCCGCAAAGAGCAAGCACACATCTCGACGCAAAGTGGGGGATGATGCTGGTTCTGTTGGTTCTTCGGGGATCGCAAACGATGGGGTAACGGAGCCAGCACGCCCAGACGCAGAGGGCTGTGCTGATGACCTGCGTGTCGTCGCAGATGTCGAACGGGCGGCGACTCTGCCAGGCATTGTTGCGTTGTTGTTAAGCGTTGATTATTCAGAGGCGAAAAGCATCGCAGACTGCGGGACCGATCAAAGGAGTGGAGGCCTTGGCGGTAAACAAACAGCCCAAAACGGGTGACTGATAGCCGATAAGGGTAGTAGATGCACGTGAGCTGACTAATCCCGACCATCGGAGGTGCGGGAGCTCGTCATTCCCCGAAGGTCGATAGGATCATTTGTTCCTGCATTGCAAGTCAATTTAGAATGTTTCGTCAAAGTGTCCGGCGATTCGCCACTACGGCGGCTCGTGCTGCTGGCGAGGGGTCCACTGCCTACTGCACCCGGGTGTCAACTGCCCAGGGCGTTGTCAATGGATTGACCGAGGGTATGTCTAGCTCCGAGCACCCTTGCATACACTTTTAAGCTGACTTGGATCCTGCAGCGATTGGAAATACCCCGCTTATCCGATTGAAGAAGCTCTCTGAGCAGACCGGCTGCAATGTTCTTGGAAAGGCAGAATTCCAAAACCCCGGAGGTAGCGTGAAGGACCGAGCAGCACTCTTCGTTGTTAAAGATGCAGAGGAGAAGGGACTCCTGAAACCCGGTGGTACTGTGGTTGAGGGAACGGCCGGAAATACTGGCATTGGATTGGCGCATGTGTGCCGGTCAAAGGGCTACAAGCTAGTGATCTACATGCCCAACACCCAGTCGCAGGGCAAGATTGATTTGCTCCGTCTGCTCGGCGCCGAGGTATACCCTGTCCCCGCAGTGGCCTTCGACAACCCCCAAAACTACAACCACCAGGCACGCCGACATGCCGAGTCATTGGACAATGCAGTCTGGACCAACCAGTTCGATAACATTGCCAACCGTCAAGCACACATCGACACTACCGGACCTGAGATCTGGGCGCAGACCGAGGGCAAGATCGATGCCTTCACCTGCGCTACCGGAACCGGAGGTACCCTGGCTGGTACCACCCGCTATCTGAAGACTGCCAGTGACGGACGTGTCAAGAGTTTCCTCGCCGATCCTCCAGGCAGTGTTCTCCACAGCTACATCCAAAGTGGTGGTACTCTGATCGACCGATCTGGCAGCAGTATCACTGAAGGTATCGGCCAGGGCCGTGTGACAGACAATCTTCAGCCCGATATCGACTTGCTGGATGGCTCGGTGAGCATCAGTGATGAGAAGACCATCGAGATGGTGTACCGCTGTCTGGATGAGGAGGGTCTGTACCTTGGTGCCAGTTCCGCGATGAACGTGGTCGCTGCCAAGGAGGTTGCCGAGAAGTTGGGCAAGGGTAACACCGTTGTGACCATTCTTTGTGACGGTGCTTACCGTTACGCGGATCGTTTGTTCTCCAGCACCTGGCTTGAGAGCAAGAACCTGCGTTCTTCCATTCCCAAGCACCTCGAGAAGTATATTGTGTTGCCTTAAACTATGTACTTATAAATTGAACAAACTATTCTCGTCCGGTTTTCGGAACTTCAAAGGAGTATATTGAGCGTGTATAGTAATTGAGTGCTCACCCTGTTCAGGTTTGCATTTGGGATGGACATAGTATATCATCTACTAGAGAAGGGAGCGCGGATTCGACACAAGTCGGTTATTTGAATATTAGCGGCGGTGGATATTAGCGGAAGGATTTAACGGAGGTTCCTCAAAAGTTGGCTGATAATATATATATGAGCATAAAATAAGTTGGTATCAATTGTGAGAGGTGAGTCTCAAAAAGCCAGTGGTGTATGTATGTCCACGCTTGGTATTGTACAAAGAGTAAAGAGTCAGACCCAAAATGATCTAATATGGAGTAAACCACCATGCCGAGGCCATTCAATGCAGGCATCAAGCAAGACATGCAACGCAAGGGAAACAGGCCAGAAGAACCATGCTCCCAGCAAAATAGACAAGAACAACCGAAACGCCCGCAATGCTTCCGTTCTATTCCAGAACGCCAGATGAAGTAGAAATGTACAGGTCGAAAAGCGTAACAAGTTACCACCGCCGGCAATAGAAGAGCCAAACGACGGAACAGGCTTATGCTTTCAAGTCGGATCCGAATGGAACGTTTACTCATCACCGGGCATTCTCATGTAGGCATCAATAGCCGCACTGAACGCTGCGAAACCAGCGCAACCAAAGGCAGCAGCCTGGGGACCCGCCTTTGCACCGAGAATACCACCAGTGACACAACCAGCAGCAACGCTGTTGGTAAGATCGTTCTTCGCGCGGAGACCTTCGATACAGCACTCGGTGCCGGAGTAGAGCGCACCGACGATACCGAAGTTCTTAGCAGAGGACCAGGATCGGGCGCCCATGTCCTTGAAACCGCGGCGGACTTGTTCGCGCCAGGGGAGGTCGGCGATGGCGCGGCCCTGGGGTGTGAAGGTTGAGTCGTAGGACATCTAGAGTGGGTAGATGTTAGATATGGAATTTTGGATGTCAAGTATTCAATTGCCAACTTACACTGGCCATAAAGAGACCGAAAGCACCACCAAGACCGAAACCCATGGTACCTGAAATGACTGTCTTGATAGGGCAGGACTCCATACCACGTTGCATCTATACCGAGGTCTATTAGAATTGGACAAATGTATGTCATAATGGAGGACGAACCATCTTCACCATAGCCTGTTCTTGTTCATTCATTCCCTGGGTGGCCGGGTTACCTCCCAGGGAGGTCATGGGAATCGCGGTCCCTGTGGTACCTGGAAAGGCCATTTTGAAAGTTGGCGTGGGTAAGGGTTGACTTTTATAGGGTAGTAGATCGTACTCGCTGGATTAGATCCAAGCTGGCCTGAATGATCAATCCACTGGACCTCAGCGAGAAAAGAAATCGCGTGATCAGGTAAAATATAGAACGCGGAGATCTTGCGGAGGCGAGTAACTGAACCGCAAATTTATTTTACGGGAAACCAGAAAAGCCCAAAATGCAGTCTTGCACGTGATATCCCGGCTCCGCGAAATCATCGTGGCGTTATCGGTACAACGGTCTGTGTACATATGTATCCATGGATACATTGTTATTGAACCTATCAAGAACTGTTGTGTACGTTAAATTCCAAAGAAAAAAAAAAAAACACAAAAACATAATGGAAATTCGTTGTATTCGTGAAGCTAAAAAACCAAAAATCGCATTTATCGTGATCAAGTCAAACTGGTATTTCAACAAATCTTGATGGAAGCCTGCGCAAACTTCAAACTCAAAAAGTAGCAAAGGGAAGGCAATGTATTGACAAGAGAAGAAGCAACGCTCTCGTATGGTATAGTTCGAAGGTCGTAGCCCTACGTAATCCCGTAGATAGGGTCGAAGAAAAGGTAGCAAGTATATACATGAAAAGGAAAGAAAGAACCCCATTAGTCCTTCTTGCTGTCCTTGCGAGCGAGCGAAGGAGAAGCAGTTCGCTCAGGGGTAGGTGACAGCGAGCGCTCCCATTCTGCCATCAAATTTGATGCAGTACGTTGAAGCTTCGAGGGAGCCAGCTTGGTAATTGCAGGCCAGGGAATACTTTCAGAGGCACTAGGATCAAGTGCAGAGGGAGCCGGGTTCAAATCCCCAAAGCTAGGAGCGTGGTCAGCGCATAACGAGGTTGTCATAGATGAAATCAGAAAAGGTCGAACGGTACCTAGCGCTGGTTCGAGGGCTGCTACCCTGTGTGGTGGGTGATTGATCATGTTTGGATGCAACTGTTGATCGGCTCGACGAGGGCGTATGCGTCTTCTGCGCGGATAGGGGCGTGTCCCAGCTATCCCAGTTGTCGAGATCTTCATCCTGCGCATCGATTGAATTACTGGAGCGGTGGTCGCGGTGTTCGGCTTCGGTCGCCGCGTTTCGGTTGGCGGCTTTGTTGTCGGAGGGGGTGCGCGGAGCGTTCGGAGACTTCTGAGCGGGTGTATCAATGCCGAATTCGTTCCAGAAAGACGTGGAAATTTCCGCCGGCTTGGTGGCTTTACCAGTTTTTGTCTCGGCCGCTGGCCCCCTCCCCCGCGAAGATGATGACGACGATGATCGTGATAGCTTGCCGTCCGCCAACAACCGTTCCCGACTCCGGGATCCTGCCAACGAGTCCCGCTTGCGACCATTTGGTGGTGCCAATGAGTTGGATGGTGAGGTTCGTGTCTGTGTGCCGCTGATTCCTTCCTCGCCCACCGTAGCTTGTCGGATATCTTCCAAAAATGTCCACAGACCCTCGCGGAGATCAGACGCCATTTGCTTGCCTGTGCGTACCAAGGCCTCCCGCGAAGGGGGAGGAAGGGTATTCTGCCATTGGGCGAGTAGATGTTCTGGTACCTGACTCTCGTCGAGTTGTGCACTCATCAGAGCTGCATTATTGCGGTCGACAGATGGCAACGTCGCAGACCGCGGAGTACGACCCACGCGCTCACTGGCAGGATCCGAGAATCCTGGTTCTCCGCGGGAAGAACTGCTGGGACCTGAGACTGGCGACAAGAGAGACAAAGTCCGTGTATGTGTGCCATGAAACACTCGCCGACCATTACTCCCAATTTTGGTTCCTGGCGCGGCAGCGACAGCGGCAGCACGCACGCTAGACCGTCGGCCTAGTTCCCGGCTCATCCGTTCCTGTGACACTGTGGAGCTCGTCACTGAGCTCATACTCTGCTCCCGGGCATGTGAACTCGGAACCTCTGGTGTTGAGAAATCGGGCGATCGGAGGGGTACAAGTGGCTCGACGTGGTTGATCTCCGCCCGCTTCCTAGACTTCTCAGACAGTGCCCATTGTTTCTTGATTGTCACTAGGTCTGCTTCGGCCCGAGTAAGCTCCTCGCGAAGCTCCATGACCTTCCGCTCCTGCGAGGCAATCGCCCGCAGAAAGTCATAGCCGTCGTCCGGGACGTCAAATGCCATGGGTGTTCCCGGAGGTTGAGCGGGGGAGGGGCGGGTTGAGGGCTGTGTGACTGGGGTTATGGGGCTGGGTGAGGTGACGTTATCGAGTGTCCCAGTTTCGTTCAGATTGATGGGGAAATTCAAGGTGAGTCGTTTGGCATGACGGGCCGTCTTCACACGAGGTAGTGAAGATATTCTTTTCTGAGCGAGAGAGGATGAGCGTGAGAGACTGGAGAACTCGGAAGCAGAGTCCGGTTGTGGCACAGTGGAATTCGTGGAATTCTGGTTATCCGGAAATGGACCTTGGAGCAGGTTCTCCGCTCCCGGAAGACTCTCCATTATGGGCCAGCCAGTAGGAGAGATCACAATATTTCAAAAATTCATAGAAACAACAAAACAAAAAACAAGAACAATAACAGAGGAGAGTTGGGAAAGGGAGAAAATAATAGCTTCGAGTCTCCTGAGTCCAGCCCACAGCGGGTCCCACACGAGTCCACGGGCTGTGTTTCAGGGGGAATTTAATATTAGTGTATTAGTTATTACTCCGTGGTGTCTTCATCTTGGCATCCGTTGGTATAGTTTGGGTATAGATCTACATCGGAACATTTTGTATGTACAATGAACACCATTTCAACCGAATGAGGGCCGTGCTTCAAATAGTGGTTTAAACACAGAGTACATATATATAACAGTAATTCCACGGTAAAGTGCGAGTTCATGAATGAGCTGGCTACGAGACTAATATTGAGTTATACTGAAGTTATATTGCGGCCATATCGAGGTTACATCCATCGTACTATGCTATGTACTATATATATATATATATATGTACATATAAAGAAGTTCATAAAATTGGAAAGAACAACAGAGCCCCTTGGTATTTAATTTAAGGAAGGTGCAATCGAGTCACGAGATGGACACATTAGGAAAGTACTAGTAAGCCCCCATTCTAGGAAGGTACGTATTGTTGAGGTCATAAAAAGGCATTCTTCTTCTTCTTCTTCTTCTTCTTCTTCCCCTCAACCCTCTCCACCACTATCTCCCCATAATGAGACAGCGCAGGTGGAGTGTCTCGTACCAACCCGGGGTGCCTATACATGAGACATCAACATTGTTGAGGCTCATGTAGGTCCACACCCAAATCAAACCAGGCTTTCTTGTGTGTGTTATTTGACAAGTGCCTAGGAATTTGGGCACCATAGCCACCTACAAGTCCCACGGAATACATTGGGGATGTTTAATCGTATCCTCTTTCATTGTACATCCAGTAACCAAAATATATTCCAACTCCTAACTAGGTAGTTCCATGACTAGATTACTATCCAGCTGGTGATTTTATGTGGTAGATCGAGCCTGAGTTCAGCCTATGGAGGCACGTCGCTGTGAGATCTCGGATGTTGTGGGGTTTTCAGGCAGAAGGCGACCTCGGGAGGCAGGCCCTGGTAGCCAATGTCGTTTAAGCTTAATTTTAGCGGCTGCACACTAAGAATTGGCGCGACGATTGTTTATTTCTCTGGTTACTGCAAAGATGGTCCTCTTTGCTTCGAAAAAGTGATGTCAATACCCAACTAGTGTTAAGGAAGTAATTAAAAGAGAGAGAAAACAATGACCGAGATATAAATAGATCTCAGGAATATGCAGGGGTGACCCGCCATCCGTTATTCAACCGCACCTACTCCGCCAAGCGCGCATTCGCCAACAACTGCGTCCTCGTCATGAACTGGAGAGTGGGTGCTCTACGTATTCGCTCCAATGCCGGGGTTATTCAAAGATGCGGGGTTTTTTCCCAACTGCCTATTTCCACGTACCGACTGATCTCCCCCATTGACCGAAAAACAGCCTGGTTGCGTCGATGCTCATCACAATGGACGTCCAACCCAAGAGTCTTCCCAGTCTTTGACCTCGGGTTGCTAGATTCATCTACCAAGATTGAGGAAGAGCTTGCGGTGGGATATGAGCCTAACGAGACATACACGTATCCCGCCGAGGAGGAAGAAGCCCTGAACGATAGGTACCGAATTATGCACAAAATCGGATATGGGCCCACAGCAACTGTTTGGTATGCCGTTGATCTACTGTGAGTATTTAATTAGAACCGGAATGATACTGTGCTAATTCTTAATCAACAACAGGGAGCCCAGAATGGTTGTTTTGAAGATCTATGTTGTGGACCATATGCTCAAGACTTATGGGCGGTTCCACCCACCAAAAGTATACCAGCAAAGTGAATGCCCTCTCCACGAAGTTAGCGATCGTTTTACCATCAAGGGTCCTCGTGGTACTCATATTTGTGTTGTTCACGAGGCACCCTCACTAGACACAGAACAGATGCATGCGGGAGACAAGATGGATCTCGAGTCGATGAGGTCTACAATGAAACAAATGCTGATCATGATGGATTTCCTACATACTGATTGTTATCTAACTGCCCGTATCCTCCCCTGCAACTCATCATTTTTGAATGATGAATGACTGATTCTAGAGTAGGCATAATGCCAAACGAAACGTTCAACGTTGATTCCAGCGACAGACGAGTTGCTGGACCCAGCAGCGCCGAGATTATCACCCCGATGATACTCCCAGGGGACGGTGTTCCCCTTCGTCTGAACTTCCCAGACGATGACATGTCCGGTATCGAGGAAAAACATTGCAGGCCTCCTGAACAGGTCCTGAAATCGAAATCGGACCATAGGGCAGATATTTGGGCTACTGCTGTAGTTGTTGGTACTTTCTTCCGAGTCAGCCGAACTATGCTTACACAATATATCTAGGCATGGAATTACACCAGTTCCCAAGGGCTCATCGACGGACGAAACTCGGACGGGGCCTTTGATGACCGGGTCCATATCGCAGAGCTGGTTTCTCTACTTGGCCCGCCTCCGCCAGAGTTTCGCGAGAAGATGCGACTAGGCTCCATGTTTTGGGACGAAGACGGGAATTGGACAGGCCAAGCTCCTGTGCCGGATCGAAGCTTCGAGAGCCTAGCAGCTGGCAATGTCAACGGGGAGGATGTGGAAGGCTTCTTGCAGTGGATGCGAAAAGCGCTACAATGGGATCCTGATCATCGGCCCACGGCTCTAGGTCTCTTGCGTCATGAGTGGATGTCCCGGAAGACGAGGCCTGTGGAGGGAGAGGGTAAGGATGTGTCCGATGAGGGTATCCCAGTCTAGGTATAGTTTCCATCTTGTATGCCATCTGTGGCCCTGTATAAGTACATGTACATATTATAGAAGCTCCACTCAGTCAAACTCCACTCAGACGCCTGTTGGACTAAAAGTTGAAAATTAAAAAAGGTATTTGTTAGAATCCCATTTTCAACACCAGAAACTAGCTTTCTAAATAATTCATTACTTTAAAACATGCACTTCGGCGTATCCCACTCAGTAAACCTCTATTGACAGTACTCCCAGGAACAAAATGACCCTTTTGTTGTAAAGCTGGGGAGCAGCAAGCCAATCTCGCTTCTTCAGAGCCAAGGTCGCACCCATCTTTCCAGCAGACTTGGTTCTTCGATATCCTCGTTAGCTCCCTCCGCCAACAAATTCCTGACTCTGACAATGAAAATTTCCTTTGTTATGGCCTCGCATTCTAGCCCATACCGGCTTTTTTGTACCTTCTCCAGTCTCTTGTTATACAACCTCAGCTCGCCCGGCTTCTTGTCTAGGAGTTCTCTCGGCTCTTTCTGGTTGAAACCTTGACGATCTGTTCTTCCCATTTTTCGACACCCACCCTTTGCTGAAGCTGAAAGCAAGGGAACATGGTCGATCCGAAGAACCCATTTGAACAAGCATATGAAGACCACATAGGATCCGAATCCTCGGACCACGCAACGAGCTTGGAAACTTCTTTCTGAGATGCTGGTAGCTTCCCCCTCTTCGTCCAAGACGCGCTTGAACATTTCAAAATGTCTGAAATAACGCTTTGCCATCTTTGGGGGCTCTCCGTCTATAATATCCCAATTGTCATTGATCGGACGATTGAAAAGCAGCTACCAAGGCGCCGAAGCGAATAACTGAGCTGGGCCCGCATAACCCCATTCAAGGTCCACTACTCCCACGATCGTGAGATCATCTTGACTTCTGACAATCGTATTTGATGGGCACAAGTCGTCACAGATAATTTAGTAGGCCCTTAATCGTAGTCTTTGTTCACCATCTTGGGTATCATGGATTCCAGAATCTCCACCGAGCCGAAATTTATTCCCCCTCTTCCTCCTCAGGAACCGAATTAAGCTGATCTTGAAGCTGTTGTTTCTCTTGGTTGATGGTATGGTAAAAGTACTCACTAGTCGTCAAACCCCCTTGGGTTCGGTCACTTAAGATCGTTGCATTAGTAGGAGTTGTAATCACCAATGATAAATCTCATACCAACTACGTAGACATGGGCTGTTGTTCTCTTGTTTCTTTCAAAAGCCATGTACCAGGTTGATGCCGCCCAAAGTATAAAATCCTATACCCTACGTAGATATGCGCTAGTATTCTTTCATGAGCTATTATCCTTTTGTTTCTTTCAAAATCTATGACCAAAGTGAAACACATATACGTACTACGATATGACGGACAGTGCAAGATATATCATTTTGTCGAACATGGTAAGGAGATCGCCTAGAGGGAGTAGCAAAAGAAAATTACTCAATGAGCAGAAGGTGATAAGGGATGAGCATTAAAGTGGAAAGAGAAAGCCATATCGCACGGCCTGGAATCAGATGTATATGTACACAAAGCCAGTATGTTTATTGTGATAGGATATGCCAAGGGAAGCCGTTTGATTTCGAGGTTTCCACCGTTGGCTAACACAGGACCTTTGAAGTCTTTCAGCTAGATTATAGATAGATGGGTTTACATCGATCTTAGAGTATCCTCGACGTGCATGTAGTGTATAGATCCAGAAACAGCGGAACACCAAGTTGTAGGCTGGTATGGCCTGTTAATCTTATATCGTCCTCCCAAACATAACCAACGAATCAGCTTTCAGATCCACTTGGTTTCTCAGCATCATTGGTCTAGTGGTAGAATTCGTCGTTGCCATCGACGAGGCCCGTGTTCGATTCACGGATGATGCACATCTTTTTTTTTTTGGTTTTTGTGTTCTCTACTTTAGCCCGTGACTAGCTCGTGGTCTGCATATAATGGAGCTTGACTCATGTTAGTTTCTCAAATACAGATATATTGAATACGAAGTACGAAGCGATGCAAAAATCAAGACATTTATCACATTTCAGACATAGTATGTTCTAGTACTCCTGGAAAATACCTAGAAAAAAAATCACACAAAAGACCAAGGGCCAATAGACAAAGACAGAAGCACAGGCAGCTTTCTATCGAAAAAAAAAGAGAGTACAGAAGAAAGCGCAAAAAGATTACACCAGATCATTAGTAACTCCGGGACCAGTCCCACCAGAGTAAGTGACAGTAAACAGAACGAACGAACGGACACCAATGATGCAGCCAATGGCAAAGAGTTGTACAAGAGTCAGAACGCCAAATTGGATCTATACAGCGAATGGAAGAAAGAGTAGCAGGATGTGTGGAGGTTGACGTTGGGAGCGTGAGGAGGGTTGACGGGGGAGACTAGATGCCGCCCCAGCGGTTGCGGAGACCCTCTGACCATCGCTGGTAGAGGACGTCGGAGAGTTGTTTGGTATGTTCCATGCCAGGCGCAGCTTGAGCGGGGATGGATGGGGGTGACTGAGGCTGGGGCTCGGGGACGTAGGATTGGCGACGGCGGTGGCTTTTGAGGTGTGGGTTGTTTTGGGCCAGCACGAGGCGTGGTCGCGAGGGGGAGTCGGGTTGTGTGGACGGGAGAAGAGTGGAGAGGCGGGAGTCTGCTTGAAGCTTCTCGTTCATGATCCTGACGATGTGGTAGAGACCTTCCGGGTCGACCATTTCCAGGTCGCTCCAGGCTTCGGCAAGTCTAGAGATTGCCTCCCGTTTATCGCCATCTCCTGTTGTTGATAGGACTTCCTGGCAGGACATTCCCACTGCCTTGCTATATGCACGGCGTCCAATTTGAGCCTCCTTGCTTGAAGTGTCGGTGGATACCGTCTTCGGGCTTTGATTTTCATCAAATCCCTGCTTGACTGGGTTGAGGTCGGTGGGGACCTTGTCCGACACCCGGCGGAACTGTCGGACTGTGGACGGGCTGTTGCCATAACTCAAATCCAGACCAAGGGGTTGTTTGACGCCACTCGAACGACGCTTGGTGTTAGCCCGTCTGACAGACGGAGATCGATCGGTAGGGATTCGGCGGACGGTGGAGTTTGCCTGGTGCTTAGGCGGTGGTGGTGGTGCGCTTATATGCATGTCTTCGAGCATCTGAGCGGGATCAGGCGTGTTGTTTTCGTCCTCCTCGTCGAATGTCATCCAATCCGTGCCCTTTGGCTTCCACATTGGAGGAGCCTTGACTGTGTCAAAGACCCAATCGTCATCATCGAGATCTTCAGGCCGAGTCATGGTGTTGAGAGACTCGGCATAGTATTTCACGTCTCTCCCTTCACCACGGCCACAATCCCAGTCCTGCTTGCGCAGAATCAGTTCTTGAAGTGACTCAACCTTGCCCGCATTCCGGATGAACTTGTGTCTCAGGAGCTCCTTTGCGCTCGGCCGCAGATCCGGATCCTTTGTCAGACACTGTGCGATGAAGTCCTTGAATGTGTTGCTGTACTCGTTGCCTTCGAGGCGAGGGGCGGGGTTCTTCGGGATCAGGAACAGCACTTTCATCGGGTGTGTGCTGGCATGTGGGGGTTCTCCGTTGATCATCTCGATTGCCGTGATACCCAAGGACCAGATGTCTGCCTTGAAGTCGTATCCAGCCTGCTGGATAACCTCCGGTGCCATCCAGAATGGAGTTCCGACGAATGTATTGCGCTGCGACTTGATATTGACCAGCTGTGCGGCGACACCAAAGTCTGCCAGCTTCACCTTTCCACTCTGAGAAAGGAGAACATTGGCGGCCTTGACATCACGGTGGATTTTGCCTTCGTTGTGCAAGTAATCCAAGCCTAGGAGGAGTTCTCTGCAGACGATGGCCACATGGGCTTCGTTAAAACATCCAGGTTTTAACTGGGATGATTAGCGATGGACCTCATGATAAAGATAGCAGTAAGGGACGTACCAAATCCAAACAGGAGCCACCTCCGAGGTATTCCATGACAATCCATAGTTTGTGCCCCTTAAGGAAACTGGCCTTGTATTGTGTAACGTAGGGGCTAGCGCAGGTAGCCAAAACAGAAATTTCCTGCTGGATTTCTTGAATATCGTCCTCGCTGGACTCGAGATCGATCTGAAAAGGGTGTCAACAAAATCGAACGAAAGGCGGGAAATTGAAACTCGAAGATCGAATATCATGAAAGCGTACGTGTTTAATGGCAACGATCTCGCCGTCAGTCCTGTCAATGGCTTTGTAAACCACTCCGAAACTACCACCTGCAAACGGAGAATACAGTTAGTCGACGGAAATGCAGGGAAAAAAAACAAACAGCGCTTTGGTCAACTCACTCCCTAGCTCCTCCATCACCTGGTAATGACTTGCCATGTCGTCCATTGTGCAATAATTCAGCCCAGCTAGCTACTCCGGTCAGACAGGGAATGTCGACAGGGCTCATCCAAGTAATGAATGAATAGCTTGGGACTTTCGAGGGGTCAAGACGAGAGTAAAGAGGCCATCGGGGTTGGCGGGCAAGGGGTGGAGCATAAATCCCCAAACAAGCTCCGTCTCACATGGCAACGGATGGCCTCAGGCACCAACTGGGGTATATCTGCAAGGGGTCCACTCAGGTGATCGGATTTGCCTCGAATATAGCTATTTAGTTCTGAAAGGATTATCATTTACTTCTTTTACTTGAAGATTCTGCGTTATACATGCTTGTACATGCTTGTGCATAATGTGATTATTACTCGATCTCGGTAAACGGCTTTTGTTATGCTCCAACGATCCATATACAACACGCATGCAACATGCTCTAAATATACTTGTACGGGTTCATGATCCCATTCTAAGAATTAAAACGTTAGCAATTGCTCACACATAGCAGTGATACTCCACTTACCGGGTCATAGAGGTTCTTCAGCTGCTTCATCAGCTTCACCATCGTCTCGTTCTGGCTGTAACCAATGAACTCGCGCTTAGCAACGCCAAGCCCATGCTCAGCACTGATGCTGCCCTGGCGCTTCTGAATCCACTCATACACCCATGGCTCGATCGCCTTCTCCACTTCCTTGCTGTACTGTCGCACGGCAACGTTCAAGTGCAGGTTGGAGTCACCCATGTGACCGTAACCAACCACAGCACGAACAGGGAAGGAGTCATCGTCACCGACCAGACCCTTCTCCGTGAGGCGGGCCTTGCAGTCCTCCACAAGCAGGTATAGATCCGCCAATGGGATCGACACATCGTACTTGTAGGTGCCACCCAAGTGGCTCAGGGACTCGGTGATACCCTCACGCCAGCGCCACAGGGCCTGGAACTGGGTCTCGTCCTGGGCCAGTACACCGTCGGCGACAATACCGTCGCCCATAACGTTCTCCAAGAACGACTCCAGCTTGGCCATGTCGTGCTCGGCGTTGGAACCGCTGGTCTCCACCAGGCAGTAGAAAGGATACTCACCCTCGAGAGGGTGCTTGTTACCCGTAGATTCAATGACCAATTTCTGGCTGCGACCGTCCATCAGCTCGAACGCGGAGAGAATCTCCGAGAGCTGGCCCTTGGCAGCGAGGTAAGCCTGCTGGACCTGCTCAAAGCTCTCAAGACCAAAGTAAGCCACATTAACGGCCTTGGGGCGCGGGGGACACTGGATAGAGACAGCGGTTACGAGGCCAATGGTACCCTCAGAGCCGATGAACAGCTGCTTGAGATCGTAACCAGTGTTGTTCTTGCGTAGAGTTGACAGCGCATCCACGATAGTCCCGTCCGGCAGGACCGCCTCGAGGCCGAGCACGCTACCGTGGAGACTACCATAGCGGAGGAGACGCAGGCCACCGGCATTGGTGGAGACATTTCCACCGATGTGGCAGGAACCCTTGGCACCCAGGTCCAGAGGGAAGAGGTGCTCTCGCTCAGCGAGATACTGGTCAGCGGTCTCAAGGATGACACCGGCATCGGCGACTAGGACACCGGAGGCAGCATCAAAAGAGCGGATCTGATTCATGCGCGAAGTGTTGATGACGATCTCATCGAAGACCGGCACCGAGCCACCGACAAGACCAGTGTTTCCACCCTGCGGCACAACAGCCAATTTGCGCTCGTTGCAGTATTTCAGCACCTTGCTAACCTCCTGTGCATTCTGGGGCTTCAGAACAAGCCGGGTGTGGCCACGGTACTTGCGCATCCAGTCGCTGTTGAAGGGTTCGATATCGTCTGTCGCGTCGGTGGTCACGCCATCGATGACGGCCGACTGAGAGCCCAGGAGTTCCTTGAAGTGTGCAACATCTTCAGCGGAGATCTCGGCGAAGTTGGGGTTGCGCTTGAGGTTGGGGTAGGCGTCGCTGGTGAACTTGATCTGACGGGAATCGGAGTTGCGGGTGGAGCTAGCGCTGAAAGTGCGCGTAGTCAAGGGTGTGATGGATTGGACGGTGCGAATGGCAAAACGAGGACGAGGCACTCGGGCCCGCCGCAAAGCAGCTGTGATATTCCTGGCACCAGACATGGCTGAGGAATTACAAAGAACAATTTTTAGAAATGTCAAGTGGAGATGCTCCGATGCTCCGATCTGCCTCCGAGAGCTACCAGGTCCTCGCCGATTCTGATTCGACCTCGGGGATTTTCGGCTTTTTCTATTCAACGCTGAAATGGTCTTTAATAACGGTTTATATTATTTAGTAAGGTAGTTTAAATTGATAGTTAGTTTTATACTGATATAGTAAATATTTTATAGAGATCAAAGTTACACATACACACATATATATATATATATATATATGTATAATATCTTGTACCTCATTGCGCCAATAAACCTTCAAGTGCACGCCGATCATGATATCGTTAAGTATATCTTAACACCATGCACAAAACACAAAAACGGGTGCAATTGATCGAATTGATCCAATTCATAAGGGCTTAAAGGCTTAGATATGTGGGTTCTAGGTGTGTCTCAACTGTTATATCCACTGGGGAGAAGTCAGTTACGTCACAGTTGGCCCCGCGTCATTAAAAAAAAAAGAAGAGCACCCGACCATCTTCCTAACTTAACCCCATAACTACACTCATCGAAAATGACATCGACAGTTCTAGTTACTGGAGCCAGTGGCTTCCTTGGCCGTGCGGTTTTCAACACTTTCCAGCACTCGGGCGTGTTGGTTGTTGGCCAGGGATTCTCCCGTCCTGCCCCGCCTACTATCTTGAAGGCTGATTTGGAGAAGGAGGAAGACATTCGCATGCTCTTCGATGAAGTCAAGTATGTATTTTCCATCTAGATCCTGAGTATAGACATTAATCAGCTTTGAACAATCACCAGGCCTCAGATTGTCATCCATTGTAAGCTAATTAGCCGACTCGATCATCCTTCCCAATTTATAGACTAACAGCTCACAGGTGCCGCAAACAAGTCCCCAGACCTCTGTGATAAGAACCCGGAACAAGCCCGCAAGGTCAATGTCGACGCCACTCGCACACTGGCCAGAGAATGCCAAGCTCGTGGTGCCTTCCTCATCTACATCTCGACCGACTACGTCTTCCCCGGCACCGAAGGCGACGCACCTTACGAGGCCGATGCCGAGACCAAGCCACCGAACCTGTACGGGCAATTGAAGCGTGATGGCGAGGTGGCCGTACTAGAAGCAACCAAGGAGTCAGGCATGGGAATTGTGCTGCGCGTGCCGGTGCTGTACGGCAACGCCAAGGAGAACTCTGAAAGTGCGGTCAACACTCTCGTCGACGCTGTCCAGAAGGCCACCGATGAAAATGCCGGCGTGAAGATGGACGATTGGGCTATACGGTACCCAACCAACACCGAGGACGTTGCGCGCGTGTGTCGAGACATTGTCATCAAGTATCTGCGTGAGAAGGAGAAGCGCAAAGACTTCCCTCGTATCCTGCAATTCTCATCCGAGGACCGTATGACCAAGTATGAGATTTGCCAGAAGTTGGCTGAGGTGTTGGGTGTTGCTATTCCCGGAATGATCCCCAATAAGCAGGGCAATGATCCCAATGGGGGTGTTATACGGCCTTATGATACACATCTCTCTACCAAGGCACTGACTGAGCTTGGGATTGATGTGCGGACAGTGGATTTCATCGCGTGGTGGTAAGTTCTCTTCATGGGGGTACTATATACCTTATTTTTAGGTCCGTGCTAACGACTCGCAGGCGCCGGGAATTGGGTGCTTATAGGAAATAGGTTCTGACCTATTCAAGTTGTAAGAATGATTCAAATATAGAAGGATAAAGCTCCAATTGAAAAACCAGAAAGAAGGAGGTTTAAGCCTATCAAGGAGATCAGCTAGGCCGAATCAGTAATAACCCTGGAACTATATAAATCCGCAGAAATCGTATATTCTGTGTACTTCTCGTGCACAGAACAAAATAAGAAGGACTTCCACGAGACTTGAAGCTTCATTATATCCCAGTTACGAAGAATCCCAACCTTGGAAGTATACATTTGGAGTGAGACACTCAGATCTGATCGCCTTGTGGACCCTTGGAGATCCTCCAATAATACTCCGTAGCCACGCCTTTTTTCATTGAACAATCTAATAGTGCGATTCAAGTCAATAGTACCTGTCGATCATATATCACTTTGTCAGGTCAACCACATAAATAATGTTGTATACACATCGTTGCCCCAGCGTCGCGTGAAACCGCATGCGGCGCAGCCGATCCGGAAATGTTTAGCCGCCAGGAAATTGCCAGGGCACTTGGGAAATTGCGTTTCATCTTTTTGTTTTTTTCTCTTCCAATTTCACGTTTGATTATTTGTTATGCCAAGTACTTCGGTGAGTTCAATCCATAACATCTATCCAATATGGTCTATCCAACCCAGCAAACCCCATCCCCAGCCTAGGCCGGCCCAATTGACGATCGGTGCGGGTCGCTTTTTTGCCCAGGCGCGAATGGTCGATTGAAAACAGGCCGGTTTGATCGTGAGGACTAGGTGGGATTCTATTTAGTCTCCCACACCTTTTTCCCACATTTCTGTATTTCTCACTGCACCGAACTCTGTTAAGAGGCTGAGTCGCAGAGTCGCAGAGTCGCAGCACTGCCCGATCTGAACGGGAAATTGCTGTCAAGGCGACGCTAACCTTATTGCGATAGAACTCGACGCAGATTACGAAACTTACGCGCCTCGGCCTCCCGGGGGCGAACGTCAAGTGAAAAAAAAACCTCTAGCATGAGTGAGAACAGTGCGACAGCGCAGGCTGTACCCCAAAAGTTGTCTCGATATCGTAGCATGCGAGGTGGGACAACCGACGTCGAAATGGCCGCACCACCTGCGCGTGTCAATAAAGTCGAGGAGAACCCCTCGCTCGCTCGAAGCAGATCCCGATATCGTCGCAATCGGCCATCGTCAAATGGACATATCGTACCTCCTCCTCCCGCGATCCCGGGCCACGCGCGAATTCCGCCGGTACGAGAAAGTGAACGGCCCGCAACCAGTCACCCTTTGGCAACACAAAATGAGGAGGAAGCGCGCATGCGCGAGCTACACCGACAAGGTGCGATGGAACAATTGACTGGAGGGGACAATTCTGCGCAACACACTGGGCGGCCTCGTGTGTCCGCCTCGCCAAAACAAGCTGCGCAACAATCTCGATCGCAACCTGCGCCGGCGCATCCCCCAAGCAGTTACAACCCAGGAAACGATGGGAACCGCAAATCTTTCTTTCAGAAGGTCAAACTTGCAAGGTCCGCCAAGAAAAACGAGCCCCTCCCGAACTACATTGGAGTGGGCGGAACCGGAGTGGTCCCAGGAGTTGATGCTCCTGTCAGCGCTGTCAACGCCGGAGAGCGACATGCGCTTGTCAAATATGGAGATGCTACTGCGAATCTCACTGTCACCCCGTCAACTCAGGTCCAGGATATATTGGTAGATGCCACCAAGCACTTATCGCGGGATATTGATGCGGAGAGATTCATTCTCATGGAGTCTTACTCTCAAGTGGGTCTAGAGCGCCCTCTGCGCCGCTATGAACATGTCCGGGAAGTCATGAATTCCTGGTCACATGATGCGGACAACCAGTTCATTGTTATTCCTCCCTCCAGTGTGGAAGCCCTAACCCAGCTCGATGCTGGACATGCCCCCAGTGGACAACCACCCCCAGTGACAGTCCATATTTACCATTCCCAGCAGCGCCGCAAGTGGGATAAGCGATATGTCACCTTGCGTGCGGACGGACAAGTGACAATCTCAAAAAAAGAGAACGCTGAGGAACAGACCAATATCTGCCATATATCCGACTATGACATCTACTTTCCCAGCGCTCGAGCGCTAAGCAAGGATATCAAGCCGCCTAAGAAGCTATGCTTCGCAATTAAGAGCCAGCAGAAGTCGTCCATGTTTTTGTCCACCGAAAACTTCTTGCACTTTTTCTCGACCAGCGACAAGTCTATTGCAGATACATGGTATCGGGCGGTACAGAAGTGGAGAAGTTGGTATCTGGTCAATAAGAAGGGCGCAGGCCCGAAACTAGAGACCGAGGCACTCCCCAAGCGTGCTGGGACGAAGAAGTCGACTAACCAGCCGAGAAATGTGCACAACGAAGCCCCACTCCTAGAACGGGAGACTTCGACCGAAAGCTCTGATCAACAGAGGCCCGCAAGCTCCAAAGACGTTTTTGCGCGGAAGAAAAACCTTCGTGGACACGTGCCCCCTCCGCCGTCATATCCCCATACCCTCACGCTCGATACCGATACAGAAGGGCCTTTCTCCGACAACCAGGCATTACTCTCGGGCATTTCATCCGAAGAAGGAGATACTGCTACGTTTGCACCATCCGGACTCTTAGGTCGAACTTACACCCAACGACAAACCGCTATGCGGGAACGGGATGATCGCGACAAGAAAGCTAAACAGGAAGCCTTTTCAGGCACTGGCTTTATGAGTGGAGGATCCATACACAGCCACGACTCAAATCCCAACAGCCGGAGCAACACAATGACCCGTGCTCCCGATACATCTGCTTTCACCCGAACCCTATCTCTTAAACAGAAGCCTCTGGTTGACCTCACTCCAGTCTATGCCGAGCCTCCACAGCATAGCCGCAAGGGCAAGGGTCGCGGCGTCAAAGTCCAACCCGGCATGCAACTGATCGACGGCGCTACTGGTCCAGATCAGACGGCAGGAGGAATCTCCATCCCACCAGCGACTTCGTGGCGACGACCGGCCGCAGAAACCACACCTCAGCGGCGAAACACCACCCGCAGCGTGCGCCATCACCCAAACAAATATGCGGCCCCGGTTTCTGCTGAAGCAAGCCCGGCACCCCCGGCTAGCCAGTTCACCGCGAATAGCCTATTGGCACATTCAGCCAGCACCGCTAGCCATCGGAAACCGCGCATCGGACATGGTGTCGCAACGGGTGATCGCAATGCCACACGGCCGTTGCTGGACATGTCCCCGGAGAATCCCTTTGCAGATGGCAGTCTGCTCCGACAGCTATAGTTGTCTTTCATTTATTTTTTTTATGTTTGTTGTTACGACGATTATGATTGTTATTTCGTGAGATTCTCTTTTGGTATACCTAGGGTTTATTTACTTGGGCCACTGGCTCCCCATACTATGACACTGCAAGGTTGAGTCCACTCTCGTCAGTATTGATGCATTCTGTGTCTTTTGATCTGGAGATGAATTACCGATAGCCGATTGTGCTTGACGGACGATTCATCTTTGTTAGAGATACCCATTCTATGTTTATTTAGCAATGAATTGAAACCGAAAATTTATCCCTGACATTTATTTGACATTATATCTAAACTTGTTTCTCACTGCGATCCAACACTCTTTTAATCTCTCTCTTATCTTCTACTGAAGTCTCGAAGAAGGGATAATCACACCATCTGACTTATTGTGATATTGCCGCACCGAGAACTAGGTATCCATCCAATTCACCCGCTTCATCGTCCAACATATAAGACTCTTGGACTGATAAACTCCACAGATCATTCTACCATTCTATCACATCGACTTCCCTGGGTATATCGCAGTACCAAACTCCCTTGCAAAAGCCCATCAAACAACCAAAAAGGGACTTCCTCGTGCTTCAGAGCAATCCAATCATATCACGTAGCAAAATAGCAAAAGAAACAAAAAGGAAACATCCCACCCTTAAACCATCTCTTCAAGCTCAAGAAGCACGATAAACCTTGAAATTCTTAAACTCCCAATAAGCATCAACAAAACTGCTAGGATTGCCAGCAACAAAGCCCGAACAAGTCGCCGGACAATGGTACAAAGTATCATAATATTGCTTCTGCCCAGCAAGCTCACCACAGAGATCAATATTAACAATGATACTCAAATTCTTAAAATGCGACGCAATGTTACAATTCGTACTCGGGAAATCCGCCAGCGCAAAGCCCCAGCTACTCGGATCCGGATTCTCCACCGTGATATCAGCAGGGATAGTTCCACTGGGGAAGAACCAAGCGCGAATACCAGCGCTACGGAGTTCAAGTGCATAAACACCTCCACCACGGTTATTCATCGCCTCTCCGTAACTATTCTCATCACCGATGACAGCACAGCCAGAGTTTCCATCCGTGGCGTTATTACAATTGTTAAAGATACCATGACCGGTTTGTTTGCGCTTGACATCCATATGACAGCCCTGGGTAGTATGAATTGAGATTTCATTTCCATGACTTCCAACATTGGTGGTTTCAAGAACATCGATCTCGCCATTCATCGGCCAGTTATATCCATCTGTTAACCACAACGCTGGCCAGGTTGCACAGCCGAAGGGTGTATGAATGATATCGAAGACGAAGAGGCCTGAGTCATATGTATTTCTCGACTCGACGCGGACGGAGTTCCGACCGGAACTGGCGTTTGGTGTTGAAGCGTCGACGCGCAGGATGGCTGATGACTCGGATGCATAGGTGAGGTTTAGATGTCTGGCGGTTGATTTGTTGACGTAGACGACGAAGCCCTTTGTTGGATCTTCGTCTGTGAAATAGGTGAATCGGTCAAAGAAGGTTGGGCCGGAGTATTCGTCTGCGAGGGTGTAGTTCAAAGGTGTGTAGTTTGGGTATTGGTTTTTGATTATTTCGACGGGGATCAGGATTGTAGCCAATATAATCACTATGGCTGTAGCGCTGGCGATGAGTTTCGTGCGCAGGGGCCAGCCTTGTGGGTTATACCAGGGTTCTTGGGCTGGGGTATCTATGTCTCCTTCTGGTTGGGTGGAGGTTGTGATTGGGGATTTGGTTTCGAGGGTGGGGAGACTCGGGTTGGTCCCACTGTATTGATTTAGATATGGGAGTTGTCGGTTGGCCATGGTTATAGTTGAGATGTTTGAGATACAAGATCAGTGTAACTGGATTTGGAGATGAATTTTGTTCTATGTTCTACGTAATTGCAGTGTTGTGATGTTAAAAAACAGCTATGTAGTTTATCGTCATGGAAATCTACTCTGCCCTACAATGGGAAAGCGCCGATCCTTCCTGCTTGCGGACCCATGGATTACTTCGCTATAAATAACCCAGTCTATTTTGTCGTCGCCGTATATAGACTAGTACTACCATGCAAGGTTCAGGGACATATCAATAAATATCTATTTTCCCCTACTTATTATATCATGACGATGTACGGAGTACTCCGTAGAGTAGTTGCATTGGTTAAAAGACAAAATGTTGTCCCTACAATCAGTGAAGACATGCAAGACAAGAACCCTCGAAGTGGACGTATATTACTAAATGGATGGTAGGATACAAGTCCAATGTGTCTATAATTATGTGTGGTGAAATTAAAATGGAACCGCCAGGGCACGTATGTAGAACGCCAAGCCTCTATAGGTATAAACAAAAAGAAATAGGGTTCCGCCCATTTTCTACCGATTGGATCGGACAGTCGAGGAACGATGCACCAGAGAGTCCGCATTGGGAGCAGGCTGGGTCTGCCAGTCGTGGGTTTCCATACCCGAAGACAGACCAGCATCGTTCCTTGCTTGAGATAAGGTACGCGATTGCGCTGGGGCGAAAGACCCACCACCACTGAGGTTGGATGCACGGCGGCGCATGCGGCGCTCTCCCTCTTCGGCTTCGTGTCGATTGAGGGCGTCGGAGGGGAGAAGGACGGCGCGATCAAGCGCGTAAGGTAGGCCACGGTGGCGGCCACGGAGTTGCATGGCAATGATTACCAACTTGGAGACCACATTGAACTGTCCCGAGAAGGAGGTGTTGACATCTGTGTATCCGAACGAAAGACCCACAGTGCCGTATGCTGAGACAACTTCGAACAAAACAGTGAACAGCTGGAAGGAGTTGTCGTTCACATTCTGCAATTTGGATCCTTCCGCAATGGCAATGATAAACAGACCTAAAAAGACGTACCACAAATCGAAACTCAGTTGGCGTCGCAAGTGAGCTCCGATATAGGTGGGAGCATTTGAGTCTTCATCGTCATCCTCGTCTGCGGCATCGTAAATTCCCAAACTCTTCTCTTCGTAGACGTTGGTTCGACGCATAGAGATAGCGATGGGGAATACTGAGATATACATCATGATCAGATAAGAAACTTGGATGGCGGGGTGAAGCTCTGAAAGACTGATGATTCCAAAACCAGCTGTTCGCGTCGCGGCAGCTTGAAAGAAGCCATCCACAACTCGAATTCCGGGTGGCAGCGCAGTGACGGCAGAGTCGTTGAGCTACACAGCCATGGTCAGTGAAAATTGCATAGAAGAGATATATAAAGTTGACAAACTCACATCCAGGATGACAAAGAAGATCAAATCAATGCCATTCAATAAGACGAGAATCGCAAACAGCCACCAAGTGGCATTGCGAGGGAACAATAGAGTGAAGCATCGACGGGGGTGATCCAGAAGAAACTTTAACTCTTCCCATAGCGCAGTGCCCTGGCGGGTGAATTTCGAAAGAACCCAGATCATCAAACGAAGCATGCACGGGAAGGCGGTATTGCCAATAATAATTAAAAACGCTAGCATCAGCAAAGGGAAAACGGCCCTTTGGAAGGAGTACATCGAGTCAGGTGTCAAGGTGAAACCCAAATCGTTGAAGGCGGAGGCAGCGGTAAAGATTCCCCACCACGGCCGCCCAACCCCATCAGCCCGGACAACATCACCCCATCTGTTCTCGGTCATGATCCAGCCGATCATACTGACCATGCCGATGAGATGAAAACCGACGTAGTAAGTGATGAGAACGACGGCCAGCGTCTTAAGCGCACGGTATTCGATACCGCCCAACTCATCACGCTGTTCCTCCGTCAAGTCAACGAAATTGGAGTTACGAGCCACTGTCGCATTCCAACTGAGGTATGGCTGAGTATTCAGGTCGCGCTCTTGCGTCAGAGATCGGAACAGCCCCCTGAAGGTGTTCCTCGTGTTAGAAGGGGCAAGAGTGGTAGTCTCGTTCCCATCTTTAGTCTCCCGGAAAGTAGGTCGAGTATCCAGACGAGGGAACGTATTTCCGCGTGGACGAGTTCGTGAAATGTCTGGCTCGTTGATGGTGATATGTGGTCCTTCAAGTGGACCGAGCTGATCAAGCTCCTCGGGGTGTGCACCGGGGCTCTGTTGTTCGTCTTGGTCATCGTGGTCACTGGAGTGGTGAGCCTGCTCACCATCCTGGTCCACGTCTTCTTCCAAGGCCTCCGGCGCACCACCACGGTCATATTCCCGTGGACTTGGAATCCGCAAAGCTCCTTTATCCTTCCGCTGCTTTTCCAAGAAGGCAATGTGATGTTCGGGGTTCAAATGGGTTGGCACCTTCAAGCTACCGAGGCCAAAACGAGGTTCGTTGCTCGTGTCTGTTCCCCCGGAGCTGGAGTCCACACTGCTATCCCGAGCTTCTGGTGTGTTGATGCCCGAATTGATGTTCTTGCTTGCCGGATCCGTCAATCGACCATCCCGGGCGTCCCCTGAATCGTCCCGGATCACCACAATGGGTCGACCGCTGACTCCAAGCTCCGCGCGGTTTATATTGATATCCCCGCTGTCCCCATCATCGGTCACGGTTTCCATGCGGGATCGAGTCCGTCGCATCGCACGAGCGTCACGGACCACATGTTGGAAGCGCTTCTCGAACCAGTATAGCCGAATAAATACCAGGGCGCTGTGGATGAAGATCGGGGTGCACAGACATGTAATCAGGTATAGGACTATTTGTTGATATAGCCAGAGACTATTCAGATCGACCGTGTTTAACCCGCTCTGTGTGGCGGCGCCGGCGGATTGGAAAAGCGCATCAATGTAGTCGATGTTGCCACCGGGATAAAGGATGATGGAGCCGATGATCGCCCAGGATATGATATAGGCATAGTGGAGGAAGATGAAATTAAGGTGCAGTTCGTTTAAAAACGGGACCTTTTCCTTGTAGGACGTCACCCGACGAAGAAAGGTCGAGAACATATTGAACGGACTACGGCCAGAAGACCGTTGCCGAGCGGAGACCACTGGCACTGGCCGCGGAGGGGAAGATGTCGAGATGGGTTGCTCTCGAAAGGAGGGGAATTTTTCAAACCTATTGCATTATTAGTTTGTTACATCTCGACTTTTGTTTTTTTTTTTTTTCGCGCGGCATACATGTGGTCCCGTCGATCGCTACCGAGCGGAGAGTTTTGACTCGTGCAGGAAGAGACCACGGGGGACACCGCTCTTAGCCGCGTGGCATTGAGCCACAATTGTTCGTAGAGGAGATCGAGGGCATAACGGAGGGAAGACAAGAAGAAAGGAAATGGAGACAAAAGGTCGAAAATCTCAGTCAGAAAAAAGGAAAAACGTGGTAATAGCTGCGATAGGAAAATCACGCATGCGGGAAGATTACATTACGGTATGGTATTGTCAACTGCCACAGAAAACGTGGTCTGTCGATCCCTTTTGGTCCGTTTCATTGGGTTTTGTGGCGAAGCAAAGTGTATTCCTGGTTTAAGTTTTGATGTAAATTCGCTTGAAAGTGTGATATTGAGGTAATATCTACATTTATACCTACCTAGGTAGGTAGGTATGTACATATGTACATATATCTATGTAATGGAATAGAACGGATGATAATAATACATAAACAGCTTCGGTGGATTCCAGTCGATAAGGTTTTTGCTGGAAAGGATTCAAATCGGGTTTCACGACTCGGCCTTGCTGCATGTACGGAGTACTCCGTACGATCTAGGCACATCCCTGAGTTGCATATGCACCTAGACACTCTAGGGTTGGCATGTGAAAATGAGGTACTCTATCTTCGCATCTTATACATCCCAAAACCTGAAACTCGCTATCTTAAAAATTAAAATTATTAAAATTATATAATTATATAGCTGCCTAACACTATTAAAGGGATGTTCCAGATCGGCCCACTTTTCATTCCGGCTATGTCGTGGCCCGTTCCTAGCAGAATTACCCTATGCTGTTAGGGCTGCCGAAATATCACTCTGTGATGCTCCCTATTGGCCCATTGTATCCTCGTGCATTCTCCATCTTCGATAGGACAGCCGCCCTATACTTGGCAGCGGAAGGGTATTGCGTTGTATCCAATTATTTATCGACGTGTCTCACGCCTTTTTACTTGCATTCTTACCAAAACCTGTTGACAGGAGATTCAAGAAATCTAAGAGATCCACGAAATGCGAGGGGTCCCAAATATATCTAGGTAATGGGAGAAATTAGGCGGCACCGGCCGGCCCGGCATTCTTTACTTGAAGGGATGATCTTTTCTAGATACTGAAGCATGTCCAGAGTATCTCTAGGCCATTCCTTACTCCATAGTGGAATATGGCACAATTAGCTGCCAAGATAACAGCATAACATTCTCTTTCATAAGGATCGGAACTTCTAATCTCCTAGGGCCAGCATTCTTGCCATGGCTATTCCAGAATTGTGCGAAGATCTCGCGGATCAGCAGAATGCCAGATCTAGTCGGATTTCAAATTCAACTGCACTCGAAACAAACTTATTTGTTTTGTGATTTTCGACTATTGAAAGGTGTTTACTTTCTACAGAGTACGCTGTGTGGTATTTACAGTGTCTCTTGGGTAGACCTACCTACATACCTGGGTGGTACGACGGACACTTCTCTCTTCACTCTAAATATGTACGTATACATCTTCTTTACCCACCAATGTTATCTCGCTTGACAGAGCTTATTTCACCTACATAAATATGAGAAAGCCTAGTGTTGTTTTGTCTAGGGTAAACGTTCAACAAATCAAAAGTGCTCTGATTTCCAAGCCTGGGAACTATTCTCTTCAACGCCCTTGGACTGATAGTAATGATAGTAATGTCGTATGAGCGGCTAAAAGATGCAGGCGGCGCAAGGGAGCCAGCCTCCACTAGTCTCTGACGCCCCACAGAAATTAGTGTCGCAAACAAGCTTTGAGGTGAAGATAGGCTTTGAGCTGGTCAACCCGATATAATTCCGATATAGATAGCGTGATGCTAAGGCACTATGTTTCATGACCTATCGAACTCGCGTTAAAGATGTGTATAGAAAAATCTCTTGCACAGAATATGCTTTTTTACCGCCTTCGTATACACCTAAAAAAGAAATTTAAAAGAACATTTAAAAAGACCACTAGAAAGACATGACAAGGTCGTATAAGCGGCCGACTATTCTTGTAAGAAAGCAAACGGAAGACCTATTTATGTCAGACCCCGTAAACCTCTCGGGATCACTGACGGCTTATTCCCCCACGGCCCATTTCCCCACGGCATTGGGGGTTTGGCCCGCGGCCCGTGGAAGCAGCCCAGCACTATCCCGGGGGCCGCCAATCAGGTGAGGCGACATCATTAGGTACCTGTATACTAGGTAGTATGCCGTATGATACCTGAATCTGGACGGAGTTAAGGTGAGCCCCTGACTATAAATTATGGGGTTAATCCTTAGCCCTGGCAGGCATTTCAATCACTCTTTCTTCTGTACAATTTACCGAATATATTTACACCATGTCCGCAAGGTATATAGCATGATAAGTGTACTTAATGATCCTTGAACATTGCACTTACCTTCTTGTTCTAGCGCCCCCAAGGATCAGTTTGCTGCGCTAGTTGTCAAGGGTGGCAAGTTGAATGAAGCCGACATCGAGGCTGTTTATAACAAGCTTCCAGCTCTTCCTATCGATTTCCTCCGTGAAGAATGGAAGGGTGGAAGCTTCGACACCGGTCACCCTGGCCACACCCAGCTCTTGTCTATGAACTGGCTTGGAAAGACCTTCCACTCCACCGAAAGTGTGGATCCTATTGTTGTATCAAAGGATGGAAAGCGTGTATGCGATGAGAACTGGGGCCATGCTGTCGTAAGTAACCTAATGTCGTTCTGACATGGAGTGAGTTCTCACACAGTGCAGCTCCGTGAGGTTCGTTTCCGCGAACTTGTATCAACCGCTATGATATATGATAAACATCCTATCATTGACCACTTTCGCTATGTCAACGACAACCTCATTGCTGGCGCCATGGACACTAGCAGCTTTGGCGACGCCGGAACCTACTACTTCTACCTATACAAATAGGCTGCCCGAACTAAGGATTGGCCACATAATCTTCAGGGGCTCACCTTGCCCCCATTTATAGAAAATATATTCCGCAACAGGGTTTGTAGAAACCACTGCGACAATATTTCATGTGAAGAATTCAATGAACTTGAGGGTTAGAAAGCCTGACTATTTCCACCTATCGGGGTTAGCTCCTTCTGGGAGGAATGAATGCACAGCATCATTCTCTTTATGATATAGTCGTAGATATAGACAAATAGCAGGACATTCCACCCTAGCCCTAAGTTCAATCCACCATATACTGCGACTTGTTTTGCGGTACCATAGGTAGAGCAACAATAGCGCTACAGGGGTCCCTTTTACGGAGCAAGTCTTCGAAAGGACCATGAATACTCCGCATGAATAGTTGAGTTTGACCTGTTCCGACTTCGATATCCGGGAGGTCTAGGATCTGGGATACTGCATGGGCAGCATGGAAATACGGATTAGTTTCCGCCGTAGATGAGTCTTTGAGGTCACACACGGCAGCCAACGCCCTTGGCATGCCATCTATACCTCTTTCAGGCAATGGTGCACGCATCTGAGCAAAGGTAGCTGCCATGACGCGGAAAAGGCTGTCTGGTCGTAGGGGGTTGACTGTATTCCACAACGACATTTTACCCTTGCTCATACGCACCCAATCTAAGTCGGAGGAGCCAGAAGACCTTAGAGGCCACGCTTGTTCCGGTGTGCACGAATCCGGGGACGAGAATATTAAGATAACCAGAGCAGCCGCAGTACCCCAGATTGGATCCTTATCTTTGTCTTCGATCGGTTCCCTGAGCCGTTTGTTCAAGAGGACTGTGCTTTGAGACCAGTGATAACACTCTTCTATAGTGCGACGACAGCCTAAGGAGCCATTGAGATGGCGGTCATATGTAAGCGCGACAGCTAGAGAGGCGTGCATTAAAAAAGGGCACTGTAAATATATTAGCCGAGACCAGAGACATGATGGATAATGCGGCTTCCATACTGTGATCAGACAGAATTGATATAATAAAACTTACAGTAAAGGCTAGTTTCAGGAGCTTGCGATTAACTTGTATCATATTGGGATCGTTTGGAGTAATGAGACTTCGTCCAAGATACCGGTTTATGAAATCTTGAGACCTTGCATTTAATTGATAGGATGCCGATGCGTCATATGTCCAGGTAGCATTTGTGAGAGGGGGCTGAAGCTCTACCTTTCCTCGAACCACCAATGGCCGCACCGCGTCAGCGGAGATGGGTTGAAGGTCGGGGATATGAGACATGAAGTTGCATAATACCCCGAACGAACTACATCTCTTGCATTGTGGTTTGCCTTCGTCACACTAGAAGGTCAAGGACATTCGGTCAGCCAAGCACTAGATGATTGAACGCCTAGGGCGACCCACCTTGAGTTTTCGAAGCTTGCAATTTCGGCAACCAAATCTCGATCTCCGCTGAGTCTTACCCTCCCGCACCTCTCCTTGACTATTCATGCCTTGCGCAGCTTGGGTATGAGGGATTATCTCGAGTTCGGAAGCAATTCAACGCAGGTGGAGGGGTCATGTTCCCCAAATGACACTAAGTAGGTACCCGATAAGCTAAGCCTCTTTCGGATATTCCACATCTCACGCTAGCTGTTCTTCGGATGCAGGAGTCTCTCATTGGCTGCTTCATCTATAATCAACACAACCTTGACCTTGTTGGACGGGTGCGTCACTAGAAGAATAATAAATCTGTAATAATAGCTTAACGTATAAGAAGAGGGGTATACCTCGATATTTCACGAAGAAGACTTGAAAATCAGACTCGGCCAGTATCAAATTCCACACCTCGAAAGCCTTTCATTACAAAGAGTCCAGAATGGCCACCCACCTTGCCGCCGTCTCTATCGCAAAAGGTGAGCCCTTCGAGGTTCAAACCCGCCATACGCCAAAACCAGGCCCGGACGAGCTCCTCATCGAAGTCAAATCCGTAGCCCTCAATCCAGCCGACGGCCATATGCGTGACCAAGGTCTTTTCATACCTACCTACCCCACAGTCATCGGCTTCGACCTCTCGGGGCTAGTACTCGAAGTCGGCGACAATGTTCCCGTCGGCGTCACCGATGAGGGTCTTGGGCCCTTTTTCCGACCGGGAATCACCCGCGTCGCCGCATATGCCGCCTCCTTCTGGAAGTCCTACGACCCTGACTACGGTGTCTTTCAGGAGCGGTGTCTCATTCCCTGGCAGCACGCCCTGCCTCTTCCAGATGAGGGTATTTCTTGGAACCAAGCGGCAACCTTGCCCGTTGCTGTTCAGGTGCCCCTTAGTGCGTGGGATGCTATGGGGATTCCACGGGTGGGAGAAGCTACTGCTTCTTCTTCTGTCTCCGTTGCCCCAGCTGGCGCCAGAACTCAGGAAAATAGGAAACAAAAGAGAGAGGCCCTATTAATCTGGGGCGCTTCTTCTAGCGTGGGCACAATGGGCGTGCAAAGCGCCCGGCTGCTGCGGGAAGATCGCGATTCATTTTTCGTTGCCGTGTACGCCACGGCTGGTGCGGCGAATCAAAAGTACGTAGGCTCCCTAGGCGCGGATCGCGTCTTCGATTACAATGAGCCACAGGTTGTGGATGCGATCATTTCCGCGGCCAAAGAAGATGGCTTAGTGATTCGGCACTGCTTTCTTGCCACGGGGCAACTGGCGCCGTGTCAGGCCGTGCTTAAGGCTTTCTTTGGTGACGATCAAGGCGGAGAGAACCATAGGGCGAAGATAGGATCGGCCCCGATTATTCCTCCAGATGCGGAAGAGGTAAATGGAGTGGAAACCATCTTTTTGATGCCGTCGATGGACGAAGGGGAGAGGTTGGCTCACTTCCGATATTGGATGGGGATGTGGCTTAGGGAGAACCTGGCCAACGGGGCTATTAGGCCGAGCCCGGAGCTGAGAATCGTGGGAAAGGGTTTGGGGGCTATCAATGCTGGGTTGGATGTACTACTCCAGGGGGTGAGTTGTACGAAGTTGGTTGTTGAGGTTGCCGAGTGAAAATTTCGAGGGGGTTGACATTAGGTGCTTGATCCAAAGGATTGGCACAGGTGTTTGCCATTGTACAAAATCTCTCATATCAAAAATATTCTTTTCTTAAGTTGTACTAGATATGTTGAATTCCTCGGATAGGCGATTTGGTCGGAGTCGGGTTGGGGTCATATGGTTGAAGTCATTGACCCCAATTTCTCCAACTTCATGTTGGGGTAACTGGTAGATAACCATTGATAGCAATTAATTCCTGGTGTTTCTTTCTTACCTTCTTCATATCCAGCTACTCGCACATTTACAATTGACATATCATGGCCTCTACGCATCGCATCGCCGTCATTCAATGGCAGATCAAGGTGGGTGCCCGTGCCCAAGCTTTGGACCATTGATGACGTGTAGTCCCATTCCAATCATTCTTACATTAATTTTAGGAGCTTGACATTGAATACAATCATAAGACAGCATGCGCCTACATCAGTGAGGCCGCTGCTCAAGGTGCTGAGCTAGCTGTTCTTCCAGAGTAAGAAGCGTATCCAACGACACTCGATAACTCTCAAAATGAATCAACACTTGCTAATTCAAGACAACCAGATACCACCTTAGTGGCATGGTCCCCACGGACCCCCTTTGGGCAATCCAAGCCGGCGAATCCGCCAAGTACCTAGCAAACTACCAAATCCTGGCCAAAGAACTGCAAATCTGCATCGTACCGGGTACAATCATCGAAAAACACACAGAGTCCGATCAACCAACCTTGTTCCATAACACAGCCTACTTTATCTCAAACGATGGCACTGTGCTTGGCTCTTACCGCAAAAAGAACATCTGGCACCCGGAACGACCCCACCTCACCTCCTCAGGCCCAGAGCCTCATGTGGCAATCGACACCCCGATCGGTCGCGTGGGAATGCTGATCTGCTGGGATCTGGCATTCCCCGAGGCATTCCGGGAACTGATCGCCGACGGCGCGCAGATTGTGATTGCGCCTACCTACTGTATGTTGGACTCTTCCACGCCTCGACCTGTGATATCTGATCTAACTGAAACTTCTACTAGGGACTCCCCACGATGCCTCCCCCGAAGCCCGTGCGTATAACCCGGATTCTGAAGCCCTGTTCCTCGAGTCGACGATTACATCCCGCTGCTTTGAGAATACCTGTGGTGTTGTCTTTGCCAATGCTGCCGGGCCGTCGGAGGATTTCTTAGGCCTGTCGCAGATTACACTCCCTCTTGTCGGGCCAATTGCTAAGATGGGAACCGAGGAGGGATTTATCGTTGCTGATGTGGATATGGGGATTGTTGAAACTGCGGAGAGGAATTACAAGGTGCGGCAGGACCTGAAGAAGGAGGATTGGCACTATGTTTATCGGCATACCAGTCGAAAGTAGACAATACCCTATTCTAATGGCTATTCCTTGCCTCTTACAAGCATCAAAACTATGTGGATTTGAGCCACACTATATCTTTTGATGAACCTTTCGCTGCTCAATCTCGTCTCTTGCTTTGTATCTGTTCCCCTCGCCCTGTTGGTCAGGAAATGAAAGGGGTAGAGAACGCATAATCAATAGTACCCCATAAACTCCACATAAAAAGATGTCTTGACAATGTCAACACCAAGGATACTAGATACGTACATGTACCTATGATACTGGTGAGACCTTGGGAGGCTAGCCGCATGATGGGCGGATGCGCTATTCCAGACACAGTCTAGCGTCAAAGCTTATCTCTAACCCTATGGCAGCTTTATAGATCTCGGAATACATTTACTTTAACATGATCTGTCCCTTAGTTCGAAGTTCACACAGCTTTGTTCTGGCGTAGTCTTATTCTGTTTGGCCGGTAGACATGATCATGTCTCCTGTATCTTAATCAGTAGCTTCAGCACTTTTTCAAATCTTAGGAGTCTCAATGGTTTATGTAGATGATACGAGGTCCTGGAGACACCATAACCAAGGGTCTGGGATATTAGATATAGCTACATAACAGCCATAGTACACGATTATAGTGATGGCTTCATTTCTGACTAACGATCACTTTTACTTTGGTTCATTCTGAGCGCTGCTTTACAAGCTACGGTTGTTCATTCTCCTACAAGGGTGTTCACTATATGATGGTTTCGCATGTAACTGAGAGCATACGCGTGATTTCCCTGTGTTATCTACGTAATATGCAGACAGCCCACTGGAGGGGGTATCACCTGACTTAACAATGAACAATAGGTCCCATTGCCTCCCATTGTTCCTTCCCAAACGGGAAGGAGGGCACCTTCCTCAATAGTAGATTTCCTACCTATATAAACCCTCCTCCCCCCACTTCTTCCTCTTTTTTCCCTTCCTTCTTCATCTCCCCATCTTTCTCACCTCTCATTTCATCAAACCCCCATCTTCCATCTGGGGTTTCATCACACCCAAGTACACTCCATCATCAGCTTGGGTCTCATCAATACCTTGTCCATCCCACCACACCTTCCATCAAGATTCATTGGAAGTGGACCCTGTCACCATATCTGACTGTGAGCAACACGTTGTGAGATGTCATGTCTGTCACGTCAACACCCCACACCCACGTGGTCCATCATGTCCACCCGGGTAAGTCTACCTACTATCTGTCACCACCCACCACCACCTGTCACCTGTCAACCGTGGACCACCCATCACCATCTGTCACCACCCTTCAGTCACTAACATGTACTTGCCTCATAGACCCCACACCATGTGGGCTTCACCACTCTGACTTTTCATCTTACGTCTCTGCTGTACACTGTGAGTATCATCTTTCATCCCCATCCCCCATCCACTTCAACAATCCACTGCCTCTTCAATATACTGTCACCTCCTTGCCCTTTCATCATTTGTTCCATCACCAATGATCATTCATCATGATCACATCATCTCTTTCATACCTTCAGCCCTTCGTGGTACAGAGCTGACTATATCAGACATGTGAAAAGATCACTCATCTGTTCCATCCTTTGGACATACTTTTTCCTCAGACCTCGCACCATACACAAGGATATGACAAAACTTCTTATTCCGCGTTCTGTGAGTTTCTAATTCTTTTTGTCTCCTTTCCCATCAACCTTCCTCCACCCTGACACCTCTGGCCTATCTAAGAGCTCGGGTGCTTCTATCATTGTTTGGTACTAACTGCAACAGATATGGAATGAAAACAACACCCTGCTTGACATAGTCTTTTCAATGGTATTTCTGTTTCTGCTTCTAGTCCAGCCCAATGAGCAGCAACCTGGGTTGCAGTCTGCAGCTATCCAGGTAAGAGCTCCAGCACCAGAACCCTCCCACCTCTCTGTTCCTTCTGCTCTGCGATGACGGGTGGAAGATCTTACCAACCGGTTCTGTGGCTGACGCAGGTTCACCTTGGTGTCTTCTGTCACAGGAATCCCATCTCTCTTCGGTTTCAGTCTGCCTACCTCGCAGCATCTTGCCTGCTACAACCACGACTTTCCGTGCATGGTCCCCACACTTTACATCAATGGTATTTAAATCGCATGATTCTGCTTCCAGTCCAGCACAGCGAACAACAACCCGGATTGCAGTTTACAGTTATCCAGGTAAGAACTCCAGCACCAGAATCCTCCCACCTCTCTGTTCCTTCTGCTCTGCGATGACGGGTGGAAGATCTTACCAACCGGTTCCGTGGCTGACGCAGGTTCACCTTGGTGTCTTCTGTCACAGGAATCCCATCTCTCCTCAGTTTCAATCTGCCTGCCTCACAGCCCCTTGCCTGCTACCACCACGGCTTTCTGTGCATGGCTGCCCTACTTTACATCAAATAGAAACACCTTCACATCTTTGAACAGCCACAGCATTCTTGAGAAGCCACCCCGCTCATGGATGTGACATATGAGCACGGTATATCCTTTCCACGCCAACTTCATTATTTGAGTTGCTAAAGGAAACATTCTTATCAGTCATCCACGCTAGCTTCTAAGAGTTTGGCTTCTGCTGTCATTTCTACAACAACCGAACTGGGATCCCCCCACACCTCCATCGGAAAATGCCTCCTAGCTGGCACCGCAACATCTCCAGCTCCAGGCCACGCCACCCGTTGGTCCCGCTATCATTGACAACATACCTCTGCGCACCAAACCACCTTTGCTTACGAATAATGAAACCATCCTCTGGCAACTGCCTGAAACTCAACCCAAAACAAAAACAAAAAAACATCAACACCACATCAACACCACGCAACAGCCCACAAAAAAAAGGAAATAAAATGAAGGAGAAGGAACAAACAAAAAAATGAAGGACGAGTCTGGATTGGATGGAGGAACGAGAAGGAAATCGGGAGAAGGAGAAGGAGGAAGGAGAAGGGATGGAGAATTGGTTGCTTTGGACGATGGCAAGAAAACGAGATTTGGTGAGATCACTCATAAACATTACCTCCGAGGCTTCAAAGCTGACTTCCAAAAGCACAGTTCCCTGATGACTCTCCACTGGAGTCTTTCGACCCCTTCCAATTACACCATGGACCAGCCAGCAGAGCTCATGACTCACCTTGAATCAAGAGGGATGCAATGACACGATGGTTTGTTCCTCAACTTGTGTTTCTCTTTTGCCAGAGCTAACAGTCCTAGTCACCACCATCAACCTACAAGATCCTTGAAAATTCGAACAACTTTCTGCTCAATTCGGTCTACTCTTTCGAAGAAATCCCGTATCTCACACGGTCATTGCATCCCGCCACCCAGTCCATTGCGGAAACCCGCCAACCTGCTGCAATGTTGCAGACCACCTTCTGCCGGCCCCTCACTACCTTACTCGACAGTAGCCAAGTGAGCCAGGAATACATCCTCTGACACCATGCTTCTTAGCACCAACAGGCGGTGTGCTGGGTTGTATGCTCAGGCAGTCCCTGTTTCTGGTACTTGGCACTGCGGAAGCATGAAGAACCATTATCCTCGACAGTCACCACGAGACCGCTAGGAATACATCCTCTGACACCATACTTCTCGACACCAACAGGCGGTGTGTCTGAGATGTATGATCAGGCGGTCCCTGTTTCTAGTACCTGGGACTGTGGCAGCATGAAGAACCATTACCCTCGACGGCCACCAAGTGCGCTAGAAATACATCCTTTTGACACCATATTTCTCAACACCAACAGGCGGTGTGTTGGGTTTTATGATCAGGGGATCCATGTTTCTAGTACTTGGGACCGTGACTGCACTGAATAACCATCGTCCTCGACAGTCACCACGAGACCGCTAGAAATACATCTTCTGACACCATATTTCTCGGCACCAACAGGGGGTGTGTCTGAGGTTTATGATCAGTAGATCCATGTTTCTAGTACCTGGGACTGTGACAGCAATGAAGAACCATTATCCTCGATGGTCACGAGTGGATGAGGAACATCATTCTCTGACACCCTACTTCGCAACACCAACAGGCGGTGTGTTGGGTTGTATGCTCAGGGAGTGCACTGTTCCTACTTCACTTGGGACTGTGAGTTGATTCTGGTATATCAGGGCCGTCCACTGCGAGTGACTTTCGTATATCAGTGCCGTCCACTGCGAGTTGATCCTGGTATATCAATGCTGCCCACTGCGAGTGGACTCTGGTATATCAATGCTGCCCACGTGAGTTACATGGTGGTGAAGGCTGACAAGAGTGACCTCTCATGATTGCAGTATGGAAATTTCAGCGCACACCTCCCAGTCATTTCCCAGAATTCGACAGCCACCAATTTCTCAGCACCCCCGGCTTTGGGTCATATCAAATCCCAACACTCAAGACCACATCAACTTTTTACGAAACGGTACCAGCTGTCACACTCGCGAAACACAAACCCTGAACACTAGTCACTCTCGTCAATATGACAACAATCAAAATTGACTTGTACTTTTGACTGCTAAGCACTTCCCACTGGACTGGGTTGACACACTGAAACATGGGGCACCAATCATTGAGCTCTTCTGCCCAAGCTACTCATGACCAACAACAAACTTTTTGACAACCTTGAGGCCCCACCAATGCATCAAATGCAATGTCTCTCTCTCTCTCTCTCTCACACACACTTCATATCTTTTCTCATGCAGATGAGAAGGTTGTTTCAACACAAATTCGTCATGACAAGACTCATGAGTATGGTATGACTTCAAAACAGTTCCCCTGACAAAGACAATGAGACTGACAATTCCAATCTCAAGGCACAGATCACAACAATGAAACAAATCCTCTGACAAGAACATTCTTCACCACTGGGGACTTGCAACTTCGCTCAACAAACATGCAACCAGACTGCCACCACCCACAAACGCCAAAAAAGCAAAACAAAACGCACAAACACAAAAAGAAACAACATAAACATAAGGCGAAAAGGCAACAAGTCCAAGCAAGCATCATCCACACCCCTGAAGAGACCACTGGCAGACGGCCATGGAACCATTGAATGGAAGCATATCACCTCAGAAGTCAGCCCGATCCAGCATGGACTTGACCTCACAACTGTCGCATCTCACGGCGCCACATTGGGCTTGGAAGGATGGATATGGAGAATATGGGAGGGGGATGGACAGGGGGGGTGGACATGTGAATGTATGAATGAACTTTGTTTTGATATCTTTGGGAGGATTTGGGATTTCTTTTGCATTATCCAACACTTACACCTCGCACCGACTCTGCTGAGTCTTCAAATCCCAGCTCGAGCTTTGCTTCCATGGACATCATCAATGTCCGTGTGACCGTCGACATTTGCTTGGGAGGTTGGTTCAATTTGTTTTGTATTCACTGGAAGCACAAAGGTACTTTGCAGTTTTATGTATTTAGAGCACTTCTGCCACATCAAACCTGCAGAAGTAAAATATGAAGGGTATCATCATCTTCATAATAATCTGTTCATCTTGCTTAAATATAAAAAGTAGTCCATCGTCTTGCTCTTGTAAGACTTTAATTTTCTTTTTTTTTTAAAAAAAAAATATGTATTCAGATTAAAGTCCTATGTGGTCAAAGGAACGACGCATTGGTACTATATATTCTTGTTAATTATAGCTAACACCTCAAATTAATGTCATCATCTCTCTCCAAATCCGTCCCCTACATATATTACAACCACCATCTGAGTTTACACTGGAAATGACGGGGAAAGAAATTGAAAAGTCAAATGTGAATTCTAAGCTAAGTCATAAAGCAGAGACAAAATCATTAATTGATACAATCATCCGGGCGTCCAAGGCAGGAAGTCCGTGAACACAGACAACAGACCAAGCAATGAGAGAAAGGAAAACGGTATAGAGCTCTCAAATTGGGGGAAAAACAAAAGAAAACACGTAGCAGGACGAAGTAAAGAACTCCCCCTCTTATCGAAACCAAAGACGATCACCAAGGACGCAAATCCGAAATTTGAACCCCGAACCGAAACCCGAACCACCCAGATCAAAATCTAAATAAGGGACCAACGGAACAAGTCGCTAACCAACGGATGGTACGAACAGTAAAGCAAGTACGGAGTATAGTCAAGATATTCGGAGCGTGTTGCAAAAATCACAAAGAGATGCGAGGAGCCCAACTCCGCCAACGCAGTGGTCAATGGGATGGGTTTTTCCTCTGTGGATAAATCGCCTGGTGACCAAGTCCACTATTTCATCACTGGACTTGGCTGACGATCTCACTGGCGCGACCCAGGCTCTCGACCATCTGTTGGCATTCCTTTCGTCGGCGGGTCGTGTAATCGCTCTCCTTAAGGAGTTCGTCGAGTTCGTTGGTGCGGTACATGTTCTCCAGGAGTTCACGTTGCATCTCATCTTTGGTGAATCTAGGGAAATTATTTGTTAGTATACACAAGTATTGGGGTGGGTGTTTGAGTTGAAGGGACATACTGGACAAGGGTGTACATAACCGCCTTGGGGACCATGTCGATCATTGTGCGCTTGACAATGTTGAAGTAGGAGGTAATCAGGAGTTCTGCGCGAGTGTTAGTGAAGTGTTACGAGGAATTTGCATGATCTGGTCAACTCACTGATAACCTCGACTTCGGTGGCTTCACGCTCAGACAAGCTGGCTGAAGCCTTGAGAGTTGGGGGAGGAGCCTCCATGAGAGCCATCTTCTTCTTGTTCTTGGAAGCCCAGAAGCTACCAAAGAACCCACTGTTGTTGGTAGCCTCACCGGTGGTGTCGAGCGAGGGGCTCTGGGCGCGGGCAGGGAGGAGAGGCTTGCCAGTCTTGGGGTCGACCTGTGTAGGCTTAGCGGCTGCTTGGCGCTCGTTGACAAGAGTCATGGCGCGGTGTCCGTTCAGGAAATCGGGGTGGCCAGTGTTCACGTAGGTGGATTCCATGTTGATCAAGTCCTTGACCAGCTTGTTGGTGGGCTCAAGGCACTTCTTGAAGAAGGAGATGACGACAGCATGGAACTTCTCCTTGAGCATAGGGTAGCGGCGGAACAACTGCTTGGTCAAGAGCTGGCTCAGGATGCGGACCAGCTCGTCGTAAACCAGCGAGATACACTTCAAGCTGGGCTCTTCCAGGCGTCTGATCTGTTGCTTGACAATCAACTCGAAGGCGGTGGTGCCAACGAATAGCGCGGGTGAGGAACCGGACGAGTTGTAAAGGATAGTTCTGATGTCAATGTCCTTCACAATGTCGAAGGGATCGACAGCCTTAACACCGTTCGAGTAGAGCTCGTGGAACACAAAGGAAATACGAGCACCACCGGACAATTCGATGCTGGACAACTCCTGGTTATTTCCCTCCAAGACTGTACGGTACTCGTTGCTGAATTCGGTGATGATGTTCAGGATGATGTTGGCGCTGTTGCCGAGCATAGAGTCACCTAGTTGGCTTAGCTCTGCGGTGTATTTCTGGAGGGAGGAGGAAATGCGGGCCTTGATATCGGGTAGGGTTTGCTTGATGTGCATCATAAGGATCTAAAAAGAGGAAGTCCATTAGTTCAAAGGTCTCCGGGACAAGTTGGGATCAATTCGTACCAAGTTCAACTTCCGAGCCAGATATGGCGTACCGCAGTAGGAAGCCTTATTCCGGTATGCCTTGTGGTTCTCGAAGAAGTTCTTCTCGTTCTCTAGGGCTTGGGCAATGAGTTTCTTGTTCTCAATGTCACGCTGGCCACGGTTGACCACTGGAACGTAACCCAGGCGCAGGGGGATAATTCGTCCAGCGAGAATATCCACCACATCGGTTCCATCGTCCATCAGGTCGACCTTACTCAACACACCAATGGTGCGCTGACCTTCGGGGTCCACCTCACGCGCTAGCTTCAGACCATCAGAGTTGGCAAGATCCTGGTTGGCCGAAGTGACCGCCAGGATGATTGCGTTGGGCTTGCTGATATACTTGAGGACCATATCACGGATCTGCCTCTCAATATCCTTCGGTTGGTCTCCGACAGGGACCTTGGTCAAACCGGGCAGATCGACAAGGGTCAAGGTCAAGACGTTGGGGGAGTAAATGCGCAGGTTGATCGGGGAGGGCGAGATTCCGGCGTTCTTTCCGACCTTGGTTTCCGTTTCGCGCACGATTTCATCCCGAATCTTGTTGAAGTCAAAGAACTTCTCCCCGGGGAGGTG